TATCTTCACAAAAACAAAATTTCTTGTGAGAATAAACAACATTTATTGCCAGTTTCATAGAAAAAATGCTTATTACGCAAATTTTTTTTTTATAAATTTCTCAACACACTTGTTTTTGAAAATGTCAAAATTTTTATTTTTGATCTATTTTAAACAATTTAATTAAAAAACAAATGTGTATTTCAAGTAATTAACACAAAATTATTCGAATTTATTCTAATTATTCAAAAATTTAAAAACGTCAACAAAACGTTTTAATACTTTTAATGATTTATCAATATGAAATAATTATTTTCATTACAAAAATCAGAAAACATTGCTTTACATGTGAAAACTAAAAATTTTTATTCGATATTTTTCGTCATTTAACCTATTAATCGATAAATTATCGATAATTTACTAATTTTTAAAATTTCTAAATTTGCACACATATTTCWAGGTATTTCAAATAGGTTTTCAAAAACTTAATTTTTCGCACATTTRTTTAAATTTTGTATTTAATATTTTTGGTAATATTATTTGTAAACAACTTGTGGATAATCGATAAAGTTTTATTATCTCTAAATTTACAAAAAACATTTGAAAAGCATTATAGGTGTATTCAAATAAATTTTTAAAAACTATATTTTCCGAAAAWTTATTTAAAGTATTTTTGGTAATTTTATTTGTAAACCACTTATCGATAATCGATTATATTCTATTATTTTTAATTTTACACACATATTTCGAAAGCAGTATACTGTGTGTGTATTCACATAGATTTTCAAAAATTATGTTTTTCGCAAATTTATTAAGTTTTTTTTATATGTTTGGTAGTTCTATTTGTAATCAACTCTTCGATAAACCATTCAATTTTAATATTTGTAAATTTGCACACATTTCAAAAGCATTATAAGTATATTCAAAAATATTTTTAAAAGCTATATTTTTCGAAAATTTGTTTAAAATTTTTATTTAATATTTGTGCTAATTTCATTTCTAAATAAATTATCGATAAACGATTAATTTTTAAAATKTGTGTTATTTAAGTATTTTTTATTTTTAAACACTTTTCAAAAATCATTAAAGAGTAATAGATTTTTTTCGATTCGGAATTAATTTTATTTTTTTATTTTGGTTATAAACAATTTTTTTTTCACATATTTACTCATTTATAACAATTTTTATTTATACTTTTTTTATAATAAAAGTTTATTTATGCTCTATTTACGTATATAATTTTTTAATATTGAACGATTAATCGATTTTTGTCAACCCCAAGATACATAAGGGTCAMCGGTTTGTAAAAGAGCGGCGAATAAAATCACAATGTTTTGTTACAAAACTCTAAATCTCGCTAATACGGCAAACATACACACCTTACGTGAAGGGCATAACTCAAGTGTGAATTATGAACTGCACGCAAATAGCTGCGGCTGCAAGTGTAGGCCTGCACGCATGTACAATAAATATTCAAAAGACATTTTTCAACGCATCTCAACATTTTTCTGCTTTGTTCTATTCATAAACTAGCAGCGCACAAAAAAACAAAAAAAAAAAAAAAATTCAGTAAAACAAAAACAAAGCCACATCTAACAATAATAAAAATCAAATGACTATAGATTCACTTACGTTTCTTGCCTTTAGCCGCATCGTCGCACATTTGCAGATGCACATCCTCGACACGCACCATCGACGTTTGCGAATTGGTGGACGCGGCAGCGGCCGCTGCTACCGAGGCCATTGCTGCGTTGCGATGGCGACTCTCCAGCCACGTAGGCCGCTGTTGCAGGAAACATTTGCGTCGCTGTGGCGATTGTTGCATTTGATGCGTTGCCGTCGGCTGTGCGGTCGCCAAATTTTGTGTTTGCTGCCGCGATAGACGTTGCTGCGCGCCTCCCGCCTGTGAGGGCGATTGTTTTGGTGCTTGCGTTTGCAGTGGCTGCGTTGGCTCCAATGCATGGGCGCGTTGCAAGTGCTGATCGAGTGCGCGTTGCGTGCAGAAACTTTGACCGCATTGGGCGCACTGAAAGCGCTGTGCGCCGTGCTCTTCGACAATGTGTTGTTGACGTTTTACGCGACGCGTAAAATGCATCGGGCAGTGGGGACAATTGAATGGCGTCTCCACCGGATGCATGGCAATAATGTGATTGCTATAGTCGAGATTGCTGGTAAACTTGGGGCGTTTGTGACAGAAGCGACAAACCAAATTGACTTTTTGTGAGGTGGTGCCAGCGTTGCCGGCATTGCTTGGTTTAGCTGCGATTGTGGCAATTGGTTTTGCTGTTTGCGGTTGCGGATGCGGTTGGATCAATTGTAGTTGCTGCATGGCGGGTTGACGTGTGCGCGTGTGCTGCAACATACGTACTTGCGGTGTGCCGTGTACTGCTTGCAGTTGTATTTGTTGTTGTGGCGGATGTTGTTGTCGTTGTTGGTAGTGCGATGCGGAGGGTGTTGAAGCGCAGCGCGGCGGCCGATTGGCAACCTGCGCGGCGGCTGAGTGTGGCGGTGGTGTGGCGTTGTGCAACTGATAGTGTTGCATGTGGCGCGAAGGCGGCGTCTGATGCAAAGTGCGTTGAGCCGAATTCACTGTAGGTGAAGCGATAAATTGTGGACTCAAATTGATGCCATTCACCTGTACCGTTGACATATGTGGCAGCGGTTGTCCCGTCATTTGTGGTTGTGCATGTTGCATGATGACGGCTTGTGGCGCCTGCGACAATTGATATGTGGTCGGCGGTTCAGGTGTGCCGGCGGTTGTGGCGTACAATTGTGGGGTGGCGCCGTTACTGCCGGGTTTGCCGTAATCTTGCGGTATCACAATCATTATTTGTTGCTGCTGTTGTGGTTGTTGTTGGCACGCTGGTCGCTGTTGTACTGCAGAGGTAGCGCCTTCAATGTAATTCTCATTTGCATCGACCACTGATGATTTGTTCAACTCGATTGCATGGCGATGCTGTTGTTGTTGTTGGTGGTGGTGGCCATGTTGCTGCGCTGTACCAGCCAAATGCGGCGACATACCGGTGGTGGTGGTGGCAATCAAATTGGGCTGATACAAATCGCTGGCGCTAATGTAGTAGGTGGTGGTGCCACCGCCGGCGGCTGGCGCCTCGATGATGGCCGGCGAGAGGCCCGTGAGATCGGCGCTGGACGCCCATTGGATTTCTTGTCCGCTGCCGAGGCCGTGGGCGTACAGATTCACACCAACGCCCAGATTTTGTATTGGCTGTATGGCGTTGGCCGCTTGCGCCAGTTGCAGTTGCGCCGCCTCGTAAGCGCAGCTAGGCGGCAAGGTGATGTAGTGTTGTTTCTGTTGTTGGCCGGCTTGCGTGTGCGCGTGAGCTGGTGCGTGTTGTTGCTTGGGCGTGGCAAGCACAGTTTGGTGTATGATTTGTGTACGCTGCTGCTGTTGTTGTTGCTGCTTGCGTTGTTGCTCCAACGCCTGCTGTTGTTGTTGCTGTTGTCGCTGCCGTTCACGTTGTTGTTCCAACAGCTGTTGTTGCTGCTGCTGCTGTTGGTGTCGCCGTTGTTGCTCCAGCAATTGTTGCTGCATTAGCTGTTCCTGCTGTTGTTGTTCCAACAATTTCTGCTGCATCAGATGCTCTTGTTGTTGCTGCTGTTGCTGCAGCAGCTGTTGTTGTTTGAGCAGCTCTTCCTCACGTTGCTGTTGTAAGAGTAGCTCAGCCTGCGGCAATTGTTGTTGTTGCGCCAGTTGTCGCTGTTGAATTAGTTGCTGCGACGGCGCACCCTCTGCTGGCAGCATTTGCTGTTGCAATGCATGCTGATGTTGTTGTTGCTGTTGCTGCGGCTGCGGTACTACATGTTGCTGCTGCCGTCGGTGTTGCTGTTTCTTCTGCACCGTTGCATCTTGCGCTTTATCCTCTTGCGCCTGCGCGCGCGCACGTTGCTCCACAACTCGCTCTGTCTCCTGGATGTCATTAAGCAGCTGCGCGAACGCCGCGCTATCTACTGAATACTCCTTGGTAGAGCCATCGTCTGCACCACACGTCGCGGGCAATTCCGTTGCAGGCGCATGCACCTGCACACCGTTGTTAGGCTCGTTGACGCAAGCGTTCATGTCAGTGCCCATATACTGCAGAGTATCCGCCTTTGCAACGCCCACCTTGCAATTAGTCGCCTCCTCAAGAGACACCGCCGCTAATGTGCGCATTTCCAAGTCACGCGGGCTTTGCTCATTTTGGCTGCTTGCCGGACTAGCAGACGCATTGTTGGCAGCTGCTCCCACCAACTCAATATTCTCAAAGCAGGGTATATCATTTTGGAAGCCGATCAACTCCGACTGTGTGCTGTCTTCCGTGAAGCATTCACCGTATTTATTGCCATATTGCTTGCCATAACCAGCAGCGGCACCCTGCGTTTGCTGCGTCGACTGCTGCTGATGTGCCGGTGGACCGACGGACATCGGCGCCGATAGTGGTGATGGCTCTGACATCTGTCCACTGCTTACGCTTGCCGGTTCCATATGCATGTGTTGGACATAAGGGCTGGAGGCCACTGATAAGCTGCCACCACCGCCGGCCATGCTGCTGCTGCCCACACTGCCGACGCCACCGAGCGGACTTTCAGCGTACATGCTGTGTGTGGGCGTGGTTGGTGGTTCGGAGAGTGGCGAGTATACGGATTGTGCGAAAAAGTCATCTGCACTGGACGAGACTGGCGTGTAAATGTGCTGATCCTGCATTTCATTGAGTATGCCACTTAGTGTGTTCTCCACGTCCTGCATCTCACTCAAGTTCGTTTCGCTTAGCAGCTGTGTATGTTGCTGTGTTGCAACTGTCTCGGCTCCGGCCTCAGCTTCAGCAAGTAATGCAGCGGTCACTTCGCCGGCTGGCAACGTAGCTTGCAATTCGTTGGCTTGTGGCGCTTCGGACTCATCAGCGAACTCAGGCGCGAATTCACTTATGAATTCATGCAATTTTGCGTCAGTCAAAGTTTCCGCGGACGCTTGGGGCTGCGTTGCAATTGTTGGTACGGCGCAGCTCGAATACAAAGCATTGTTGTTCGTTAGGCAGTCCACGCGCCGATTCGGACTTGACCCAGTACCGTCGCTGAAGCCCATAAAATCACTTTGTTCGCTCTCATACTGGCTGCCGCCGCAAGCATAGCCGCTGTAAGGTATAAGTTGTGCCTTAGTGGCATCGGCTGGGAACTGCGCTGCTTGTGCGTTAACTTTCGAAATTTGGCCTTCGTTAGCTGACTGTTCGTCGCTGGCATGCGGCAGTTCAGTGGATGTTATGGCACCTTCAGACTTACCATCTCTATTGCTGTGCATTGTATTATTTTCCTTGGCTTGTGTTGGTTCTCTGGCCTCAACTTTTTTATGACCGGGCTCAGCTGTTTCTGCCTTCTCTCTCTCTTGGGAACTTGTCGTAAGTTTTTCTGTCAAAGTTAACACTTTAGACGTCTCAGTGGTCACCGCTGTGGTGTCAGACAAGGTCGCTTTGATTGGTGTTTTCTGCACGTTTGTTGTTTTCAGGAATTTCTTTTGGAAATCGGCAGATAGTATAGAGAGCGGTACGCGCACTATTAGCTGATTACGTAAGAGAACGGACACTGGTTGGGTGTTTGCGGTTGAAGTTGTTGTTGGCGTTGTGTGCGTTGTCATTTTTGCCATCACAKKTGACGGTGAAGACTTCGTGGGTGACTCTATAATATCCGCTTTCATTGGAGAGGTAAACAACGTAGACTTTGTTGGGTTGGACATRAGTGTAGAAAAGGTCTTTAGAGACATTGACGCGCCAGGCRYGGTTTTAGTTGGCGTCAACTTAACGACAGAAAGTGACGGCTTATCAGCAGYTGAGGCCTCAGATGTATTGGTCATTGTGACGCTCTTCGTATTCTTATCACAATTTTCTTGGGTGGACTCACCACAAGTATTGACGTTCAATATATTTACATTATCTATTACCATTTTGCCCTTATTTTGGCTGATAAGCTGTGGTGGAAGGATGGTGTTGTCTGGCTTGTGTATCACATTTGGCGCGTGCTCGTCCTCGGTTGTGGCTGCGTCATCAGTCAAGCTGCAGTTTTCGCGACAGCATGAGCGTTTGGGACGAAAGCGACGTCGCTTTTGMGACTCACTRCTCGGAACCTCTACATTCTGCGGCTTGGATAAGCTGCCAACGACATGATAACGCGCTGCYGTCAATGGGCGTGGCAAAGCGCATTGTRAATTCGGCGTYAGGCTTATTTTATCAGAAGTTTGTTTGGTGGCGCACGAGCCACACGCTTCCGGAAGTTTCTCTTGGACTAACTTTAAAATAATAGGCATTACTTTTCCGTCGGTGGCATTGTCACGTCGTTTCGTTTCCTCTAATAATTTGCGTCGCTTCTTAATGCGTTTGCTGCGTCGCTCTATGCAAATTCCGCCCGCGGTTGTCGTGGTACTATCTCCATCTGTGCTGTAAGCTGTCTCAGTTAGGTATAATTCAGTCTTTTGGGTTTCGGTGGGCGTTACAAACGGTGTTGGTTCGCTTGGTGTGGACGGTAGTAGTTGATCTGCCACAATATCCATAGAAGTTTCTTTCTGTARGCTTTCCTTCATTTCGGCTTTGGTGCGCCAAGGTGAGCGCGTCGATTGTGAGCCTTCGCTTTCATCAGCTGCTAATTTACGTTTGAGCACTAAGCGTGTATTGGACATGTCTTCAGTTGCGTCAGTGACTTTTAATGCTACGCATTCTTTGTCCATTAGCGGATCTGTGTGAACATCTGTTTCGTTCGTGTGTTGCAAAGCAACTGTTGCAGCTGATGCCGACATAGACTTTGTCACCTCTTCATACAACTCAGTGGCTTCTAAGCGCCGTAAGCGTACAAAACATGAGGGTAGCCGTGTMACCGACTCAGCCTTATCTACGTCAACAACATAATCGGTTGACGCACTCTCTGTGCGTGAGTGTTTATCGAAATAAGGGTGACGAGAGCGTGCACGCCATTTAAGTCGTCGACGACCACGACGCGCTGTCGCATAATAGGAAAATGTTGGTTGTGTTGATCGCGTCATAGAGTCAGCGCCTTCCGCTATGCTAGTCGTATCAATATCGTTGCTGGCCGTCGCCACCGTGGTTGCCTCACCATCGAGCAGAGCCGTCGCGCGCTCAGACGTTAGTTTTGTAAGGCTACGTCGTACTTGCTTCTTCTTRTAATGTATGGCGGTGAAAGCCGCCGCGGCGGCYGATGTAGAGGCAGGCGAGTTGGCAAGCAAGTGGACAATGGGTCCCTTCAGTGTACGTCGCAGCTTATGCTGCATATGGCGACGTGCGAGCGAACGACATTTCGGCGAGGTGCTGTAAGCTTTGAGCGCAGCTTTTGTTATGAAAGCGGAGACTGCGCTCTCGGAGTTGGGATCTATTGCGGTTGCGGTTTCTAGTAGTTCGGTTTCTAGTAGTTCGGTTTCTGTTGAGTACGCAGCTGTAACAGTTTCAATGTTGTCTTTGTGCTCAGCTGTTGTTGGTCTTGGCTGTTCAACTGTTGCCATTAGCGTTTCAACGCCTTCATCATCGCCATTACCATCAGCGTCCACGGTAACAGGCACATTTTCAGCAGCCAAACGTTCATCAGTTTGCAAATGATGCTCACCGCCAACACCGCAGCCATCGTCTTGTACATTACTCAGACTCGAAGTGCGATTCAAGCTTGACTTTAAAGTGTTGCCAGCAACTCCCTTATTATTAGCCACAACTACCGCCGACGTCGCCGCCTTGCTTGCATCAGTTTCACTGGCAATTATCTGCAAAGCAGCCGCACCATCTTTCACAGCCTCGTTGTTGCACGTCGTCGTATTCGTCGTTGTTGCCGGCAAAATTGCCAAATTACTAATCTCGGACGCTTCCACTGTTTGTTTACTGCTTTGTACATCATTCGTCGGTGCTTTAGTTAACTCTACCAYCGCCGTCACCGCCACCGCTGCCGTCGCTGTAGTCGCGCTGGTTTCGGTATTATTAGCAATTGTTGGTGTTTTTGTGACCGCTTGACCGCTAATCGGTTTCTGTTGCACCGACGATGTGTCGACGTCCATTGGTGTTGCCTTAGTGGTGTTAACAACAACAGCTGGTTGTAACAAATCGACGACGTCGTCGTCGTCTACCTTGTTGTGCCGCGTTGAACTCGAAATTTCAGTCAGAGGCTCATCTGTGATAGCTTTAACAACATTGCCGCCGCAATCACCGCYACAACGCGCTATTAAYGTGTCCGCATCACATGAGATCGCCGGCACCGCCTCCGTCTCTACCGCCCCTTTAGTCGTCGCTGTGGACGACTGGGCGTGTCGCGTATCCATAAATACTGCTGCTGACGCGATTTCCGCTTCTGTTTCTCGTTCTCCTTCGCGTACACACTGGCCAACATCGTCTCGTGTTCGTTCCCGCTCTCTTGCACGTTTCTCGCGTTGCACACAATTTTCGGCATGCTTTGGCTCGCCGCTAGAGTACGTCGGAGACGGAGACGGAGATGGAGATGGAGACGCGCCTAGCGACGCCGTTTTGGCTATGGCCTCCACAGACTGGTCGGCGTCGGTCGGCACTACGACGTCTGTCCGCGCCAATGCCTCATTTTTCACCTCATCGTCATCATCATCATCAACGTCATTAACAGCGGCAAGACAATCATCTGCTCGCGCCTCATCTTTTAACCGTGCGGCCAAGGATAATTCATCCTCATTGCTTGCTTGCTGGCAACTAATCGGCCTTTTTCGCGCCGATCGCGTTCGCATCAACACAGTCGTTGGATTTGTTGGTGAGGCTGTTCTCTTATTGGCTTTTGTACATTCCGACSCCGTTGTGGGCTTAAAAATAATATGCGTTGCCAGCAGTGACTCTTGATCGACGCTTCGACCGCCACGCCGCCTATTTACATCACGTCCCAGAGCCGCCTCAACATCCAACGTCGTCAAATCATTGTTTGGCACTTTCGTTTTGGGCTTTGTTGGTTCAACGCCCAGTAATGGCTTTTGTATCGCGCAAGGGGAGGACGTTCGTACCGTAGCTATTGTGGTTGTTGCTGTAGTTGTTGTGGCGATTGCTGTCTTCTCTGCAGCAGACAACTTGAACGTCTCACTGCTGTCGCCCTTACCGCTCAGACGCGTCGTCGTAGYATTAGCCGCATTGCCGGTATGGCCGAGATTGGCGGCATTGGCCGCATTAACGTTGAGTTCCAGCCCCGTACGCGGAGATTTGCTGTAGTTATCGTTAATTAAATCGTTGCCAATGTCCAACACCGGTGGCAGATTCACGCTCAACGCGGTCTCCAGCTCGTCTGTGGTTTGCGTCTCCTGGTTGCGCTGTCTTTGGCAATTATTTGGCTTCGATTTCGTCTGCGAAGGCAGCGCGGCCGGCTGTTCTTCCGTTTGCTCGGCCGCCACTCGCGCCAACAGCTCTTCATATTCCCAACACTGGGTTTTGTCGAAAAGCGAACGCAATCTGATTTGTACCTTGAGGCATTTACGACGAAACTTGTGGATAATGTAGAATTGCGCGCTACATTTCGAGCAGATACGCTGTGGCAGTCCATCATTGGATTTTATCTGRAAGAGATGAGCAAAAAAGAAATAATAAATAAATGTGTGTATATTAARGAAATTGTTGCTTATTAATGTTCAGTTTGCTCAAAATGTGAATGCATCAACTCTATACAACAAATATACRGTGTGTTTTTGTTTAAGGATCTGGCGATCTCTCGCGCTTCGCTAACGGCAGTGTTCGCTMGCTCGTTCGAAGGTGTTGAAAATCGCTAAATATTCGTATAATAAAAGAATACCAGGCAACACCCAGTTTGGCTGCGCGGTTCTTGTTGATGTTGAAGCTGATGCTGCATTTGTTGTTGTTGTGTTTGTTTGGCGAAGAGGGCACACAGCGTGTAAACAAATGACGTCAAATGCCGACTGCCAAAACAATTATGCCCATCGCGAGTTCTTCCACATAATTCCATGCCGCCGTCTGCCTGGCCATGAATACTCGCCGCTGCTGATCTGTAGCAGTTTAATAGCTCCGATTTTTGTTGTTGCTCTTTGATTTCTATATGTTTTGTTTTTAAATTTTTGCCAGCCACATTTGCATGCCTTTGGAGAAGTAGTTATACGGTTTAATGCAGGTTTATGGTAATGGCTGTGCCAGTTTTACATCATCGCTACCTACAAACACACACACACACACACACACATATGTATGTGTGTGTGCATACATTAGTGTTTATTTGCATATGTATATGACAATGGTTCATTGCTTTGGTTGACCACAAATGTGACAACGAAATTGAAAACTAACTGGAAGCATGTCAAATCGTGCAGAACCAGAAGCTCGGCACGGTCTAAAATGTATGTATTTGAGGCAGTGAGGAGTCCACACACACACACACACACACACATCCATATTCAAATGTATGCAAGCTCAGTTGCAGTTAAATTTAAATTGCCTTTCACATCTGTCTTTGAAATTGCCTGGCAATGAATTCCAACCTAACCTAAAAACCGCGCTTTCATTGAGTAAGAAGAGCGCAGTCTGTTCTGAAATATTTGTAGCGAAGCATGAAATTTTGTTCTGTGTGCTTTTAATCAATTTTTGCACGCTTAGTATTATTATTAATTAAAAAATTATCCAAAGGATGTGGAAATCGGTTTTGATTTGTATGGCAAGATAACTGGTTATATAAGAGCATGTCTTTCAGACGGAAGTGATTSTGATGCAAACATGTGTATGAYGATAGATCTKGGAAAATGTTATAATGAGTTACTTTCAAAATAGCAGATTTTTATGCGACACGGACRTGGGCACTCAGAGCTACACTATCTSCAATGGAGTACCGCAAAGYTCGGTTTTAGGCCCACTRCTATGAAGCCTGATGTACGACGGGATGCTAAGGACATCGCTACCAAAACATATGAAAACAATCGCATATGCGCATGACCTCATAGTGGTAGCTGTGTCTAAATTTCTGAATGACCTCCAGATCAAATGCAATGACTGTATAAATGGTTTACGCTGACGTTTTGCTATGATGAGTCTAAAACAGAAGTCTTGTTCATAAGCTGCAAGTAAAATGAGAGAAGTTATCGTTCACTCCTAGGAGAATGGTGAAGGAATACTTTACAGTCACAGTTGAAGTACCTTGGTGTTATAGTGGACTCAAGACTAAAAACAAGCAACACTTGAAAAACACGATATTTAACGAAAATTTAGCCAGAATGCCATCGATTGACATCCAGGGAGACGAATTCGGACATATCAGAGGCGACTAACCCAGCAAAAAAAAAAAGAAAGGAGAGAATCAAAAACATTGCAATGTGGCAGCAACGGTTGCAAACTTCACGCAAAGGACRATGGATCCATAGACTGATGGAAATACWTTCGTGGATAGATAGACAATATGGGGACCTAGATTTCTACCTGATCCAAATACTCAGTTGCCATGTGTGGGACTCTACAAACATACATCTATCATTGCCCTCAGCATCTGATCTTAAAATGCAAGATCGGTTCGGAAATCAGTTAATTTTTTATAACTGAAACATTTACTCACAAAAATCTAAAAGAAGCAAAGTCAAACAGCTGTTCAAACAATCCTTAAAGCTCCTCAAGGAATTAGGGAAGAAATTCATACTAAAGTTCCTATGTGGCTCAAAATATTGGTTAAATTAATGAAAAATGTTGAACTCAGCAGCCGTGCTTAAATTTTTATAAAGAAGCCAGAGAATTTAAGAATATCTAGATCACTAAAACGCTGGAAGTTTTTCGCTTGAAGCGCTTCTGAATATCAACGAACTAGGCAAATAGGTAATACTTACAGACTTTATAGAACTTTCTAGAAAAACTCAAAAGGAAATACTGGAAGGAGCATATTTTTTTCYTCCTTGAAAAGGTGGAGCCATACTCAATGGGGCTAAAGTAAAGGTAGACCATGTGTATCAGAAATGAATCCGAAAAAAAAAAACAATATTGAAGTCGTGAGACAATCCAAAGCAATCGAGTTCACGAAAAAGACATGAAAAGACGAATCTCAAATCAGAAAGGAAGCCAAAAGTGCAGAGTTTGTGTCCCAAAAATGAATCCACAAAAAGAGCTTGAGGTCTTGAGACAATTTAAAAATATTCAACTTCGATTTCGAATTCGAATTCAATATTCACAAGAGGACGCAGAAAAAAAGTAAGGAATTGTATAACGAAAATAGAACTATGTGTTAAACAGTGAAAAACATCTAAAAAGAAKAATCTCCGGCTTTAGATCTCGGTACATTCTAAAAGCATTACGAATCTCAGGATTCTGGAAAAGGCTCTAAACTTTCTCGTCACACGATGTGTGTAGAAACAAGCCTCAAATACCAAAAAGAAAACAAATTTTTTTAAACGGCACCTAAGATGCAAAATCACTTTGTATAGAAATCATGTGGGAGACCTCTGTATTATCACACAGGTTTTAGTTGGTCAACAACAAATAAGAGGTGAGCTAACCTCAAACTCTGTACAACCAAGTGAACGCTAATTAGAAGGATTTCCGCTGTCTCAATTTGTAATGTTATTGCAAACAAAGGCCAGCAAAACAGCTGGAGACATTCACTAAACTGWAAAAGATCACACATGTCAAATAAATTTTAAACACAAGTAATCAAGGAAAATACTTTCGAAGTTCTTGCAAGTGATTAAGCGCTAATGCTTAACGATCTAATCCGCTTAAACCGCGCATTATTCAATGGTTCAATGCATTTTTAAATTGCTGTTGTTGTTGGCTAACTGCAAACGCAGGACATTTCGTGGACTGCACACGCAACCAACTACGCAAAGCAATAAGGCTAAGTCAAAGCTTAGCTGTAACCAACCGCAGGTGGCACAGAGAGAGATGAAGAGAAAGAGTGCTGAAATGTAGGTAAGTGGAGCGGTGAGTGGGATAACACGCACAGCTGGTTGTCACATTGAATTGGYCGCAATCAAGTAGCGCCGTTGATCCTGCTGCTATTTGTCCTTTTAAATTGTTTAACAGCTGTAGTTAAATAAAACTAATTGACCATGATTATTTAAACAGGAAGGCACGTACAGACAAGCATACATACATATTAACATATTTATTTAGATATGCCTCCTTAAGTTGGCGACTCTCACGTGCGACTTAGCAAATTAACAAGAAGTGGACATACGCAGGATATAAAGGATATGTTTGATTATGTATGCGTATATATGCATATATGTACATATGCATGTGTGTAAGCGTGCGTTTTTGTGGGAAAGCGCTTAGTAAGAGGCTAGACTGCTTGACCAGCATTGTGTGGCATGAGTTAGTCATGCGAAAAATATTATGTTTTTAATTTACGCACAAGTCGTTAGGGCGTTGAAACACTTTTATACACTCAACGCGGTTTAATAAGTTTGCCATTTAGTTGCACAGTTTTTGAGATACCGAACTGAAATTTTGTATACGTGCTTTTCTCTACGAGACGCTGCTCATTTGCAGGAACTGCTGATACCAAAACACTAAAGCAAAGCATATAGCTGTCATACAAACTGAACTATCAAAATCAAGTCTTTATATGGATTTTTTTTTTTTTGTGAAATTATCTGCACGAAATTTGGCATAGACGCCTCCCTAAGATTGCGCGGGAAGTCAGCGAAAAATTGTTTTTTTTTTTTAGATCGGATCACTATATCATATAGCTGCCATATAAACTGAACGTTCAAAATCAAGTGCTTGTATGGAAAAGTTTTTTATTTTAGAAGATATATTCACGAAATTTGGTATAGATCATTCTACAAGGCAGTGCTGCAAGAATTTAAAAATTTTTTCACATTGAACCACTATAGAATATAGCTGCCATRCAAATCAAATGATCAAAGTCAAGTCCTTGTATGGAAAAATTATAATTTGGCGAGAGATCTGCTCGAAATTTTCCACAGWTTATTGTTTACAGCAACGCTAAAATCTCCAAAGAAATTGTTCAGATCAGACCACCATAGCATATAGCTGCCATATAAACTGAACGTTCAAAATCAAGATAAAGATATTTTTATTAAATTTTATGCTATAAGAAATGCAACTGTAAAAGGTGTTTTTTTCGTTTTCCTTTTCGTTTATTTTTATTTTTATTTTTTGTTTGCTTTTCTTTTTTAGGTTATGTGTTTGCCATTATTTTTTATGGACTCGTCATAAAGCATGCATAATTTTTAATAATAGCTGAAAGGAAAAATATGAAAGCAATCAGCGGGAAGGTGATCGTTTATGGAACAAATACGCACACCACCACACACACACACACGCATACATATGTATGTACATAAATGTGATGTAATCAGGCGGTTTATTGTTCTGCTTGTTGTTAATTGGGCTGATCTCTTAACACCAGCGATTAGCAAACAAAGCACGCACACTATACCCTCCGAGAACTCACAAAAAAAAAAAAACAAACGGGTACGAAAACCGTTGCGGTAGAGATACGAGTCTCGAAGCAGAGGAAGTGGCTGAAGAAGCAAACACACACAACCAACCACCTGTTTATTATTCAAAACACTGTATTGTATGTCAATTAGGCGATGTCAGTTCAGAG